TTGAGTGGTACACGCTTCCGAAATGTTGAAGAAGTGCGAGAATGGGTGGACGAATGGATTGCTTCGAAACAAACATCGTTTTATCGAGATGGTATCGCCCAGTTGCCAGAAAGATGGCAAAAAGTTGTAGAAAGTGATGGAAAATACTTTCATTGAAATAATTTAAATAAATTTTTTACAATAAATGCTTTTTCTCAGTATTTTTTGGGCGGAAACTAAGTTAAGATCCTAATAGTTTTATGTGAATATATTCTTCATTACAAGTGTGATGCTGTTATAACATCCTTTTTTTATGAGATAAAATTCTTAATCGAACAATTTCCTGTCATAATGATGTAATAGCGATATTACCCTTATGATAAAGCGGACATTCATATATCACTACGACATTAATGTGACTTCATTGTGACAGATATTATCTTGATGCTATATAGGGCTTTTAATTTATTCAAGAATAATTTCATTTCGTTATGTCATTTGCAATTTTCAGTGCAATATAACAAAATCCGAAGACAAATGGGAAAAAGTGGAGCTGGCAACTACATGTCCTTATTTCCATATGCAGAAGAAATGGGCCAACTTTTGGATTTTCGTCCCATTGCTATAGGAGATGTTGTAGACAGTACACCATTACAAGATCTCTCTAAGAACAATGATTATAGTTGTAAGTGATTATGTTATATGTATACTTTTATGAAGAACAATAGTAGTATAGTAGGTAAAATATCTATGATAATATGAAAAAAATCTATTTTATACTAGATTCAAGCAATAGTATTTATGAAGATGAACCAGATCCACGAGACGGCGCTGTCCCAGGATGTTCATCGACATCGGACAATAACTGTACAACAGACTATAGATCAGAAGATTCGCCAAGCGATACAAATACCGTAAATCTAAGTACAGTTAATAGTTCTATACCTGCAAAGAAACGTAAAGTGAGCAGATCAAATGAAGCTGTTACTTTGAGATATGCGGATAAATTAAAAGAAAACTATGAAGAAGTTCAAAGCAAAATTATGACAGAGAATCGATGCTTTATTCAATCGTTAATGGAATCCGAAAAACAGTTAGAAAAAGAAATAATTAACAATATGCTTGAAAGCCAAAGAAGTATTTTAAAAGAAACAACTAATCAATTGTTAACTGGCTTGCAAAATATTTTCGCTCCTATAGTTCCGACTCAACATTCCACAGTTTCAATTCCTACAGAAAATCTAATCGTTCAAAGTCCCTTTGTAATGTCTCCAGTTCATTATTCCTCTCCATTCTCACCGCCTAATCTTAATTCGGAAACTTTTCATTCTTCAAGCCCTTTTCCTAAAATATTATTAAATTTAAAACAGCCAGCTTCGAAGACAGCTAAAAATGTCCAACAAACTATTTCTATAGAGAAACATCCAGAAGCTGAAAATAAAGAGCCTATTCCCATACAATCATTACTCAACGTAACATCGCAAGTCTCGCAAAATCTAAACTGAAGATTGAATATTCAGAATTCTTTATAATTTCCAGAAACTAACAATAAGAACACTAATTATAACTAAAAATAATTTAAAAAGC